AGTTCAGCCTTGCTGCACTCACAACGACTTTGTTCTTCTGGGGAAAATAAAAGCTTGGTCGGGCATTTACCATCCAATGTTTATATTATTCGATTGTCAGTTTTCCCCGGAGCACCAAAACGATTCGAGTCATTATGAAATAAACCGCTCAAACGACATCGAAAGTGTGTTCGTCTTTGATGTGACGACGTAACGGTTACAAGCCACCAATAGAAACACGCGAAAGGCTAACCGCAGTGTTGGCAGTAACGTGTTACAAGTAACCCTTTACTTTTTTTAGGTAACGTGGATGCGCGCTCGTCACATTTTCAAAACTTTAACGGATAACGTAATTACGTTACATATTTAGAGTCACGGCGAATGTAGTTATGTTGCTCGTGACCTTCTTCCCAAGGCTTAAAGAAAGAAAGTTACACCAATTATGAATAGGATGTAATTAAATGTAAAGGTGCAAGTGAGCTGGACAAGAATGTGAAAATAATCCCTGCAAAAGGGGAACAAGAGGGACAAAGAACAAACACAAATCTCCAAACACAGCTAGGTGACTGGTGCGCGACCGAAAAAATCCGCCTGGTACGGGTATCGAACCCGAGACCTCTCCATTACAGGTGGAGCGCTCTACCAACAGAGCTAACCAGAGGTTAGACGTCAGTAGAGAAAACGGGTTTCATCAGCTACCGCCAGTCTAACACCAACAAGGGTGAAGCTTGCAATTTAAGGTTATGAATAGAATACAATTAAATGCAAAGGTGCAAGCGAGCTGGACAAGAATGGCGAAGCCCTTTATGTAGACATGTGGGCTTCTTGAATAATCGGCGTAGAAAGTTCAACGGGTAGAACATTCGGACCTCGAACAAGCACCAGACTTCTCTAATTTACCAGAACCAGAACGAGCACGTACCACGTGACACCAAGCGTCGTACCGCGTTCCATGCGGCGGCGTGTGTTTCCAGAACACCTCCGATTGGATACATTTCGTTTCTTGTGCATTAATTGCTCATGTTGAATCCATCCAAAACCGCTCAGCTCGTTTTATATTGACAAACTATCATCGCACTGCCAGTGTTACTACCATGAAAAATACTTTAGGTCTGCCGTTACTAACTCACCGCCGAAAAATCTCTCGTTTGTGTCTTTTTCATAAAATATTTCATCAAAATTTTACCCTTCGTCATAAACTAAACACTCCACCATTCTACATATCTGCTCGCATTGATCATAGCCATAAGGTTGGTATTCCAAATTTTAAAACTTCATTATTTCAATATTCTTTTATGCCACAAACATCTATAGACTGGAACCGCCTTCCCGCCTCAATTGCTAACATCACTGATATTGTTATGTTTAAAAATGCTATTACTAATATGTGCACTTTATAGTTTATATTTTACAGCTCTCTCCCCTCTTCAATGTACTTTTACCTTGAGGGTATTTGAAATAAATAAATAAATAAATAAATAAGACAGCTAGGAAACGCCAAAAAGCCAAGAAAAAAAAAGGAGTGGTGTAGAGGTTAGCACACCCGACCGGACATTGGGAGGCCCAGAGTTCAAATCCTGGCTCCGTCGTTTTTTGGCTTTCGGCGGGTTCCTGAAAACTTTGGTTCTTTGATTCATTGGTTTAAGTACGTTTCATTCATCTGCACATATTTGTTTATATTCTCCTCGGAGACCATGTCCGATGGTGTGAAGTGCCCTTGTTGTATATTCAATAACGTGGCTCTTGATTCTCGCAGATGATGATGATACCGTGTCTCTAAAGCTCATAAACAAAGAATACTACACGTACACGGGACGAGACAAACAGTGGGAGGATTTCTGGAGCACAAACGAGCACGTACCACGTGACACTAAGCGTGGTACCGCGTTCCACGCGGCGGTGTGTGTTTCCAGAACACCTCCAATTGGGTACATTTCGTTTCTTGTGCATTAATAAGACAGGTAGGAAACGCCAGACAGCCAAGAAAAAAAGAAAAAAAGAGTGGTGTAGAGGTTAGCGCACCCGACCGGACATTGGGAGGCCCAGATTTCAAATCCTGGCTCCGCCGTTTTTTGACTTTCGGCGGGTTCCTGAAAACTTTGATTCTTTGATTCATTGGTTTAAGTACGTTTCATTCATCTGCACATATTCGTTTATATATATATATATAAATATTCCGACACGTGTGTTTGGTTTGAAATGAAACCACCCAGCTGTTCTTTAGGTATCGTAAACATAGAAAATTAAACGATGTAGCTTACCTTTCTACTCTCCAGTCTTATTTTATGAACGCCTGAGTGCACCGAACACATATGCGCTGTTTTTCATGGGAAACATTTCGGGTTTTAAAAAAACCTGCAACTTGCAGCTGTTGAACTCAGCCTCGTGTTCAATTTCTTGTCATGGTACAACTACAGGCTTTGGTATATAATATTCCTAACGAGCGTGTTGGTACGATGTACTAGATAACAGAAAGTATAAAACAGAGAGAGGACGAAACACAGACGAGTACCCCAATGAATTATTCAATGAACAATACAAAACGCAAACAGCAGTCGGATGTCATGCAGCTGCTCCCACGCTCTACGAATCAGTTTCTTTCTTGACGTCTGGGGCAGAGAACCGATAGTTGATTCTCCATCCCGAATCATGGCTTTAAGTCCCGAGCCCCCCGCCATTAAGCTCCAGCCAGACTTTTACATCTCCGCTCACGCCATACAGCTAGGGCAAAACATCCACGCCTTAGACCTGCTGCAAGGCTCAAGTCCAGGCGAAGCGTTCCAGGAGCGACAGTTCCTGGACCTGGGCTGCGGAACCGGAGACTTCACGCGTGACCATCTCCTTCCCCGCTGCAGTCCATGCAGACGGATGGTCGCCGCGGACGTCTCGTTGGAGATGATAGAGTTCGCGCGGAAGCATTTTCCCCACCCTAAGATCTGCTACGACCTGCTGGACATTTCGGCGAGTGAAGTGACCGGCTTTGTTCTGAAATACGGCCAGTTCGACCGCGTGTTCTCTTTCTTCTGCTTGCACTGGATAAAGGACCAGAAAACGGCCATGACGAACGTCGCCGCGTTGATGAAGCCCGGCGGAGACTGCTTGCTTCTCTTCAACGCTTATACCCGCGTGACGCTACTACGCAGAAAGCTGGCGAGGATGGATCATTGGAAGAAATACGCGAAGGTGAGATGGTGATTACCCTTAGCGAAAAGTCGTTCAAAATCAGTACACTCAAAGTGTACTGAAGTATACTAAAAGTATACTTTCAGTGCGGTCTTCGTACTGATTGTATACTTTAAGTGTACCTAAAGTATACTTCCAGTAAAAAGTGCGGTGGACTGAAAGTACACTCGTCCGTACAAAACTAGTACATGTAGTAGAATCGTAGTGCCCGTGGTAAAAGTAGTTCAAAATCAGTATACCGAAAGTGCACTTAAGTATACTAAAGGTCTACTTTCAGTGCTTGCAGTCGGTGTACTCAAATTATAATAACGGGTATATATACATATACATATATATATAGGGTGGCTAAAGTCGCCAGGCTCGATCTAAAATGGACCGTAAAAATCGACGCCTGCCCGTAGCCCCTCAAACTTTTCGTCAAAGGTGTATTTCATAGGTCGGTTTTTTCTTGTAGAATTACAAAGCGTAGTTCTCTTTCTGTAAAAAATAAGGCCAAGAAACTTGCCTGGGTCAACGGCGGGAGGCGACGCAGACGACCAAGTCAAGGTGCGGGGTGTGTTTGACACTCCTATTGATAGATGGCGCTACCTCCTTGTTTCCGTCAGAGTTCTGGTTTCGGTTTGCTTTCAATGAAATATCGAAAGTGCCCGCGTCGACCGTGGTTTATTGACACCAACATAATCGGTTTTGTAATCTACCTTTGGCGTGAAAATAAATGCAGACAATGATAGAAAAACTTCAAGTAACAAAAATAAAAGAAAACGCGGTTGCATAACGACAACGCTGACGGCGCTCTTGCTGCCGGCGGATTTCGTCTGCGTGTCGTCTGCTTTCTTTCGCTGGTCGGTTGCATCCTCGGACGCTGCTTCCGAGACCTTTTTTTTGTTTTGTTTTGCCGCGGTTGGTGGAGAGACAGCCACCATGCGTCACTTTGGATGCTATTTACACCGCATGCACTTTTGAGACACGGGAGGCTGCCAAAGCAAGCTCCAGATAAACAGCAATTAATGGCTCTGAAAAGAGCCTGTCAGTAGGAGCCCGCGGTTTTCGCGGTTGTCAAAGCCGCTGGTCATATGTGCAAAATGGATAGATATGTGATCTTCAGTTCTCGTTGTCTTCAGTCCACATGTCCACCTCGAACTTGGAGGCACTTGTGCAGTCTTCGCTCATAATCCCTGAAGGCTGCCTCCCGCATGCTGTCCGTGATCGCATCGAAGGCAGATATAATCCGCTCTTTTAGTTCCGTCATCGAGCGTACGCGAACTGCGTAGACCTGGGCTTTCACAAAACCCCAAACAAAAAAAATCACAAATTGTCAGGTCAGGGGACCGTGGGGGCCAGGGCATTGTCGGTGACCCTCGACCCATCCAGTTGCCGGGAAAGGTTCTGTCAAGCCAGTCTCTCACTGCGGTGGCGTAATGCGGTGGTGCTCCGTCTTGCTGGAAGATGCACACCTCCCTTTGCATGTGCGAAGCTTCCAGCTCCGGCAAGACGTCCTGTTCGAGCATGCGAAGGTAGGCGTCGCCGGTGACCGTGCCCTCAAAAAAGAATGGACCGACAACGCCTTCCCTCCAAAGTCCACACCATACTACGACCTTTGGTGACTGGATAGCCTCTTCAATGATCCAGTGGGGGTTCGTCTCGGACCAGCAGCGGGTGTTTTGCTTGTTCACGTGCCCATCCAAATGAAAAATAGCTTCGTCCGTGAAAAGCAGAAACGGAAGGTGGTTCCTGTTTGTGGAGATGCGCCCAAGTTCGTCCACGCAGAACTGCTTTCGCCGTTCATAGTCATCTGGCTGCAGCTCGAACAGAACCTGTGGCTTGTACGGATACATTTGTCGGCGGATCACCATCCAGACGAAACTTTTACTGATGCCAAGTTGTCTTGCGACTTGCCGCACGGACAGGCGTGGGTTCAATGCAAATGCCGCAAGCACGGCGTGTCGTTTGTTCTGCTGTGGCGACCTCTCTTCAAGTACTCGCAGCCTGGTCTGCACAGTGTTTTCCGTGTTGAATCGGTGCACCCAGCGCAGGACAGTCCGACGGGTGGGCGGACGCCTGCGAAAAGTGGCTCGAAACTTCGATCTCACTTGCCTCATACTCCTGGTTTCTGTAAACCAAAGGACTACTTTTGCCCTCTCTTCGACGGTCAGGTGACGCATTGTGGCTGTTTTCTCCCCAACCACGACAGAAAAGGCCTCGGAAGCAGCGTCCAAGGATGCAACCGACCAGCGAAAGAAAGCAGACGACACGCAGACGAAATCCGCCGGCAGCAAGAGCGCCGTCAGCGTTGTCGTTATGCAACCGCGTTTTCTTTTATTTTTGTTACTTGAAGTTTTTCTATCATTGTCTGCATTTATTTTCACGCCAAAGGTAGATTACAAAACCGATTATGTTGGTGTCAATAAACCACGGTCGACGCGGGCACTTTTGATATTTCATTGAAAGCAAACCGAAACCAGAACTCTGACGGAAACAAGGAGGTAGCGCCATCTATCAATAGGAGTGTCAAACACACCCCGCACCTTGACTTGGTCGTCTGCGTCGCCTCCCGCCGTTGACCCAGGCAAGTTTCTTGGCCCTATTTTTTACAGAAAGAGAACTACGCTTTGTAATTCTACAAGAAAAAACCGACCTATGAAATACACCTTTGACGAAAAGTTTGAGGGGCTACGGGCAGGCGTCGATTTTTACGGTCCATTTTAGATCGAGCCTGGCGACTTTAGCCACCCTATATATATATATATAGTGCGATTTTTAACATCAACACACTAAAAACGCGATATATAGGCCGATGCCATTTTCACAGAATATTTGTGGGGCTCGGTGGCTCGGTGGACATTACATGAGTAAATAAACGTCACAGTACGTTGTCTAATTAGATTTTTTAATTGACAGTGTAATTGACCACGTTGAATTTTCAATTTTAAAGGGGCTATGAATAAAGTCTAGCCCAACTGAAACAATTTGCGAAAAGGTCACGAGTTTCGGGTTATTCATAGCTAAAACTCTGCCTTTCGTCGCCTGGTTAAAAAGAGCGCGTTGGACAGAGCGCAGGATGCTATTCTTACGTATTCCCTTCAGTCGAACCGTTGGAAGTATGATGCTGGAGCATCCACCAAAGGCACGCTGTCAAAAGGGTGCAACTTCGTTCATGCTGAATGCGACAGCACTTTATGAGGGTTGTAACTTCACTAGAAAATTAAATAATGCATAGAACTCCAGTATGAGTAGTTCTCGCTAACACAAACAAACATGCCATCACCGATATGCCACGTCAAAACCGCTAAGTCACTCTCCACTTTGCCCGCCCCTGCTGCGCGTGGTTCTTGAATCGAGGAAAAAAGTGCGAAATTCGATAAATAAATATCTTAAAGCCCCTTGGCTGTTTCGTGAATAGTTTTGATTGTGTTAGGCTCTAACAACGACTGCGTCTAAAACAGCAATAATAAAAAAAAGTATATTTACGGATTTTAATTACTTAAAAAAATGTTGCCACGGTTATTCACTCATGCAATGTCCGCCGAGTCGCACGACACACATGAAGAGTGCATCAACATGACATGAGCCCCCAATTTTCCTGAAACCAGTTGATTAAAAAATATCACCGGGTATAGCTGACATAATGTGACAAAGGAATGCTTCATTTCTCATTTCACTGCAGACCACGTGGTCCAAAAGTTCCCCGGGGAAACGACCGGCACTGTCAGAGCATACTTACGTCGCAAATGCAACATGGACTTACGCCTAAAAAAAAGCACAAATAGAAAAATTAGCTACAATGTATGCCACGGAAAGTAGCGTTATCTAAATTGTCAATGATTATTTTAGCTAGTCATTTATACCATATTTATCAATTGAACAGTCTACTTTTATTGCAAAGATAGCTTTTATTTTCCCTGAGCTGTATTTGTTACCTTTATTGAAGAATAAAAGTTTACTATAAAAAAACTGTTAGCACTATTCGGAAGCTGGCAATCGAGGGCAATCGCACCAAGTGTTTAATGCTGCTGATGAAAAAGCATGCACATGACTTTGTTTTCGAAGTGCACCGCCACTTGCGTGCTGCCTCATAGGCTAGTAGACAAATTACCTTTACAGGATAATCCGGTGTTTTTGTAATGCAGGTCTCAGCGCAACTATACGCTATTTCAGATATCTGCATCCACAGCAATCAAAAGGACAGGAGGCAAAAGAAACCACGGCTAATAATGGGGACATAAGATGCTCCACCTTGCATGGACGCATGCAGCGCAAATCAACTTCCAAACCGCGTAAGCGAAGTGGTGTTATGAATGGAAGCTATCTCTGACATTGGCTGGAGAAATCGGCGCCTTTATGTAACAACCTCAAGCTTTCACCGAAAGTGTTTCATGGTGTAGATTTATCTTGCAAAACTCTACGACATCTCAATTCACGTGAAAAGAGATTGACAATTGCAACAACGAACAACACCGTCGATCGAGATTTCCACACTGTAAAAAATCGACGTAAGTTTAACGTGTCTTTCCCTCGTCAAAAAAGACGGGCACGCTCATTGTTTCAAAACGCGAGGTTGCCCTCATTATTTATGTGCCGCGAGAGCCGATCCTTCCAGAAAAGCCGAAATCCCAGCGGTGCAAGCATGCGCTGATGAATCAAAATAGCCTTGGCGACAAGGGAGAAATTGCTTGAGATAGTTTCAGTTTTACACTGAAAAAGAAAACCGAAAGATTAGATAAAACCTAAGATACACTAAACGTTTTGTTAATTTTTTACGAATATAATAAAGTGACATTATTATTATTAATATATTGATTTGCTTAGTTTTGTCTTCAAAAAAAAAAAAAAAAGAACAAACAAACAAAGAACAAAAAGAAGAGACTTTTGAGAACTGCGCAAGACCATCGCTATTGCAATCAGCTTCCGTTCGGCCGCCGCTGGAGTTCCGGAGAGTTCGAGCATCGCTTCCTTTTTACGTTTTAGCCGTTTTAGCGGATATTTTAGATATCTTACGAATACTGTGTTCAATAATAGCAGGTGATTACTGAGAGCTGTGAGACACAGCGTCGCAAGTGGCGGACAGTCATGGCCGACTGGTGCAAGCGAAGGTGAGGAAGTTCCTTTTGTTTCTGCGAAGTGCGCCGCTGTTTCAAACTTTGTCTTGTACCGTGTGCTTGCTAAGCCATGCTTGACTCTCACCATGCTCTACCCGGTTTTATTGCGTTATTTGAAAAGAGCGTATCTTCAAAATGTATGGCTCTCTCCGCAGAGTGAGAAAGATTCGCGTGCGGCGGAACCGAGGGCCAGCCGAGGGCCTGTCCTGGGCGCCGTCCCTACGACGGTCGCCCGACGACGCTTTAGCGGAGCGTTCAAGTACAGTCTGACGGCAGTTCAAGCAATCACAGGTCATGCTAGTTCTGACGTGTGGTTCCAACAGTCTCGCGCCAACGATTTGTTTCATAAAGCGGGAGCGAGAAAAACGTTACAAGAGCGAGCCGCATGATTTCTTGCCCGTGCTGATGCCTGTGCCGTAGAGACGGGCGATCTCTTTGCGTATGCCGAAGCGGCACGCTTTCCAAGTTTGCGATTTTGTGTTGTGAATGAAGTGAGTTTGTATGTCACGTTTTTTAGTGGCAGCGAAAGCCGCTACAAAAGGCAGAGCAGTTAGAAAAAGCAAAAGCATGAAAAAATGTTAAAAGGACCTGAATATTCGATGGAGTTGAAAGACTACCAACGTACCAACTCGCCCAGTTATTCTTTGTCAAAAAATAATAGCCAATACTAATAAATTAAATAAATGCCAACTTTTAATTGGTTAGAAATTTATAATTGATGCAGTACAGCCCTACCCTGCTCTAGTGCGTTTATGATATCAGATAATGTGTAAATATATAGGATAGTTCATAGGAACCATTTATGTCCGACCCATATTATATTGAATCTTTTCTCTAAAAGCTTGAAGTTGTATAAAAAAAGTACTTATCATAAATTAAGCCGCACCACTGAATGTGTAATAGCGTATGACTTGGTATGTGTGTTCACAACAAAAGAAAAGGAGGCATTAAGAAAATGCCAATCGTTTTGTTTGCTTTGTGTTAGAGCTTCTTTCAGGTATCAGGCTTTGCCACGATATTGTCCGATTTTCCTCGCCCTTTTGTCAGGATGAAGTTGTTACTGTCTTGCCTTCCTCACAAAGTGGTCCTTTGAGCGAATTACGTGATGTTATATCATAGAGTGGCATAGGGTAATTTTCTCTTAACTTTTTACGCAGGATGTAATGGCATACCATCATCACAAAGGAGAGTGTACAGTGGAGCAGGCTCGGAAACTTGAATAAAGTGATAAGTAAGATTTCAATTTCTGTCTTATCAATTACGCGAAGAACACTGATCATAATGTTTGTATGCTACACATACATACTTTCAGTTCAAAAATGCAATGCACCTCTTCTTTATGGCTTTTCTCACACAGTTTCAGAAGACGCCGGTACGTCATTCTCACGAGGAATAGAGCTGCCAAAGGTTTCCTCGTTAATTTCCTGACTCATTTTTAAGAGTGCACCTCCCGATGGTGGCGCCTCTGCATTATCATCATCAGTTGAGTTGTCAACGGCGTTTCTTAACATTTCACGAGAATGGAGCTATATGACATGAAATTTCACAGGTTGGAATACAGCCGTTCAAAGAAACACATTTGAAAAGTCGGCTTTTTAAAAACAGGCGCCGATTTTTCTGGTCAATTTGAGACCGTGCTTTCCATTCAGAACGCCCGACATACATGGCGTCCCAGATTAACTTGCACCATACTTAAAAAAACACCGGAGGGCTCTGCAGGAGTGAAATCAACTGTGTTAGCAAGTGTCTTGAGAAAGTGCACAGATTTTTTTTAATGTGCCTGGTTATGTAAATAACTAAGATTAATGAGCTAACCTTTCAAATATTCTTTTAAGGGCCAAGATATCAATTGTAACGTTGCAGGGCGCATTGAGAAACACCCAATGAAACTGTTTGAAACATAATACGTTTTCGTGCTTTTTTCCGGCCTTCAAAGAACGCACATTCGCGGCGCGCTAGCACGCCGTGATCGGTGAAGCGAGTTGTCACGGGGTATATTTTTTGTATTTCGCGGGCGTTTTTTTGAAGGCTAGGGAAAAGGAGCATACAAAGTGCACCTTGTTGAAAATGGTTTAATTGGGTGTTTCTTAATGCGCTCTACAACTTTCCATTTCACACCTCGGCTTTTAAACGAAGATTTCAAAAGTTAGCTTGTTACTCTTAATTAAATAAATAGGCGCACTAAAACAATTTCGTACACTTTCGCAAGAAACTTTCTAACAGCGTACAGTTGGTTTCACTCCCGCAGAATGCTCCGTTTTTTTTGTTTTTTTTTGTTTTCTTTTAAGTTTGGTGCAAGTTATCTGGGACACTCCGCATATATGTACTGGTAATGTACATTTAGTACACTAAAAGCATGCGTGTAGTGTACTAAACGTGCACTTATAGCATGCTAAAAGTACACTCGAGGTGCACTTCTGGTATACTACATATGTACTTGGGGTGTACTAAAGATATACTATTTTGTTTCATAAAAGTATGAAACTAGTACGATTTCAGTACATACCCTAAGTTCACTTTTAGTATACTTTCAGTATACTGATTTTGAACGACTTTTTGCTAAGGGTAGGGAGTTTTAGCGAGTCGGTTTTTGGAGCACACGGTTCCGAAATCATGAACGGTGCAGCTGGTCCGTTCCGTGAAACCGTACATGAAATTTCATATATATTAGCGAATCGCAAAAGTGGCGCAACCGTGTAAGCGATGATCATGATTGTGTTTGAACGACAGCGCCATCTTTAAGTTAGTCAAGTGAAGCATTCTGCAGCGTGCTCGTGTTTCCGTGGCTCGTGCTTCCGGCGTACGACTGATATAAACAAGACGGCCGACCTAAGATTTAGCAGTCGGAATTTCAAGACCTCCGAAGCTGAATAGAGTAAAAGGTGTCTGAACGGTCGCAAAGGTAGGTGATGTGTCTCCCTCATCTTGAACTTAAACGATCGTTCACACTGTGTGTCGTTGTACCGAAGCATCTCGTTTGCTCGCGGTCGTTTGGACTCCGTTGTCCCAGAAATTCGTCTCCGATTACAGAGCCGCAAATCTCGCAGCTAAATACACTCGGAAAATAAGTCAGCCTAAAGTTTTTGTTTTTACTTTGCTTTTTGCTTTTTGCAAAAAGCAAAGCAAAAAGTTTGCTTTTTTATTTTTGTCACAGGAGTGCGAGAGGTCTGTGCCCCCAACCGTCGACCTGGTGGGGAAGGGCAAAGATGCTCTCATGTCGTACGTGCAAGACCTCCTGAGGTCCGCCGATCTTACGCCAATCACTTGCGACGTGTGGCCATGGCCGTCGGAAAACGACACCTTAGACAAGACGATAGGTAATCCAAACCTAATGTTTGGATGGAAATCTACGCAGTAGCATATATTTAAAATGTACACTATGCGAAAAAAAAGTGTTTTTTTGTGTTTTTTGTCTTATGTACTTAAAACTAAACTACGCATCACCGAAAGTCTAGTCTGCGTTCAAACGTAGCGCTAGTAATCGGAACCAGATGCCGGAGTTTCAGGACGAATCGTTATCTTTTTCGGTAATTACCTATAAACGATTAAAAAAAAATTACATGTAACAATAGGGTGGTCGACGAAGGACAGGAATACAATTGAAACGGGCCCCATTTCACTACATTTGGACGAAAACGGAGGGCTCGACAACGCGTGGTATATTTTTTGCGGTCAACAAACCACCGTCATTTGTCTTCGGGGACATTCTGTACTCCAACTCACAAGAAGGCTTCAGCCCTGCCAGCTGCGCTGGTGCGAGTGCGTGGCTCCGGGTTTGGTTTGCGTACATGCACTCAAGCGTAGAAGCTTAGAAAGTCCGGTCGAAAATCACTCGCACTCGCCCGTGCCCTTATCCCCGAAGAAAACACGTGAAATGAAGCAGAACGCCAGGCCTGCGCCTCTCGTCCTCTGACGTCATCACTATATGGTCCCTGACAAGATGAGAAAGGCATGGAGGTGCCTCAGTTTTCCCCACCTACAGCGCGAGCCTCCTGCCTTTGATAAAAATACTTCGGCCGTCGTGCTTAATCATGCGTAGTTATAACAGGAACAATTACCAGTCACAAATATCAACCAGGTGGCACGATATGAATCGGGCCCCCGACCGTGCGATCGGCAGCACGACACGTGTGCTCGGTCCCATGAATTTGGCGGAGCTAAATGCTAATCTACACGCCATTGTAGGGCATTGATTCTTAATTTTAGAATTAACGTTTGTCAGTAAAGAGCATTTTCGAGATAACGTTCACCTAGCCAAAGCATGTGGTTCATTTGGTGGTTCGTTTTCGAGGATTTTTTTCTTCTACAGTTAATTTAAAGCATTACATAAGAGACAGCACTTCTCTTGTAACGCCTCGAAAGCAAGTGCCTTCTAACCACCCTCCCTATTCATTCCCGCATTTTGCTTTAGAAAAGAAGATGGGCTACTGCCTCCTTTCAACCCTTGTCACGGAAGAAGACAGGCCCGTTCTCATCCAAGATGTCACCGAATACGTAAAGGAAGCTATGGCCCAAAAAGAAGCGGGATGCCTGACACCCGAAGGCGAAATATTTTTTGTGCACGCGTGCAAACCCTGAACATGTAGGAGGTATACTCTAACTACTCCTCATCGCAGGAAATCTGCATACACAGCATTTGAATAAAAGTTATGAAAAGTATAGGTCACCATACTTTCTCCTTTCATTTTTTTTATTTATTTATCTTTATTTGCTCGCTTATTTATCTGACCAATAAGTTGTTTTGTATTTCTAAGTAGGTGGTAGGGTTATGGGCCACGTCATGCAGAATCAATCGGTCTTTTGCGCTGTTACTTTAGACCTAGTGTCCAAATACACCAATTCAATTCAGTTCAATTCAATAGAATAGCAGTATAGCATGATAGTGGTACAGCTGTACTACTGCCGACATATGGAACTGTCTGGTATGCGCCGTACCAAGTTTTCCAGTGAAATGAATCCGCCTTACAGGTACAGTTTACGAGAGAATGAAACCGCTGGCAGTGCAATGGAAACTACAATCAACCAGCTAGCGCAGTGAAGCCAGTGACTATTTTTGTTTTTAAAAAGCGACATTTGTACGAATACAATGGATCATGAGTCCTCGGTCGGTATGGTTTTCTTACGAAATTTGAACATTTTCTGTAGACTTTCAAAGCTTACTGGCACACTGTATTACACATGGGATATAACAAATTTAGTTCCCAAAGCAAAACACACAAGAAATTAAAAAACTACCCGTGTTGTAAAAGATGCGTCTATTAACTCTCGCAGACCATTAGGTGTGTGATGAATGTATAATTGTATATGGAACTGATACTGAAGCAATTGCGATGGTTTGCCAAGAGTTCCATTGCATCGGTCATACATAATATTGCAGGCCGAATAATCTTTGTGGTTTTCCTTTTCCTCTTTCTGAAAATGTTTTCGTGTGGCTGATTTTCGATGTGCGTGTCTGCGGTACACGTACGCAAACTGCGGCTGTTTTTCTTCTTTTTTTTTTTTTTTTTGGGCGTTGTGAGCTCACCCAGTTCGTCACGCATGTACTGACGGCATTTGTTACCAGGTGCAACACACGTTAAAAGAATTCCCAGCAGCAGCTCCAACCCGGCCGAAAGGTAGTATATGTTTGCGTTTGTAAAACAATGCGCCACTGCAATTTTTCCCCGTGAGTAATATTGATATGCGCGGAATGCATGACACGCTAATTTAGTTCACTGCAGTGTAGCATTTTCGCTGTATTTTTGTTTCTTTTTTTAGCAAACATGATTACATTGTCTGGAAACTATGCTAAGTCGTAAGTCGTCTACTTCTTGAGCGGGAGCTGCGGTGACGTCAGAAGGACGCCACGTTCTGATTGGCTCTGATTGGAGGATAGTGGGTAGACGTGAAGGCAGCTTACTTTGATTTCTACCCACTATCCTTCATTCAGAACCAATCAGAGCTCGGCGTTTTTCTGACGTCAACACAAATCCCAGCAAAAGAAACAGACGAACTTGCACTCCGCACAGCTTTTGGCTACAATCAGACGTGCTGTGAAGCGGAGTATGGCCTTGGGCAGTGTTGGAAATAATCTTTCTAATCACCCTGGGTGTTCACTTCGCCGCAACTTCCTCGGAACGTCATTGATCGGTATTTCTTTAATCAGTTCAACTAATCAGATGAACAATGGGTATCATGTTTCAAAAGACACGTGGTCTCATCATTTTATTCATTTATTGATACTATCTGCCCATTGGGCTATTACGGGAGTGGGTATTCAAATATAAAAGATGGAAGTAACCACTATACAAAGAGCAATTAAAAAAGACAGTGGATTGCACAAGACCTCTTCATACACTTAAAAGCGCACAAGAAAACGTTACAAAACTGAACGGTGCGGAAGGACTGCCCGACTTTCTGCCACCAAAGCTGCATCGCCATTGGGATGCAGCTTTGGTGAGAAGTTCTCCGGGGCGCGATTAGTCATCTGGTCCCTAAAAATCCAGATGCTTGCAAATAAATCTTTAAAAAAACACGAAGGGGGTTAATTAGGCGGTGCATTTGATTGTAAATGTTAATACGCCCAACTTAATTAAAAGTTACGTACAAGGACGACACTTTTTGCTGACCAAAAATGAGCTATCCTTTGTTTCCTGCCGTTGAAAAAAAGAACCATTCTTCTCAGACATGGCTGGTCACATAGGCGTGGACTACGGGGGGGGGGGGGGGGGGGGGAGGGGGGCACTAGGGCTCGTGCTCCCCGCCCCCCCCCCCCCGGGTCATGATCCTTTCCGAGACGCTGTTTACGTGGATTACTGCTTCAGAAGTACAGAGGCCTGGGTTTTACCCCCCCAACTTCGCAGCTGGCACAAGCTATTTGTTTTTCCGATTTGTGCTCGCCGGTGCATGTGCCGCGGTACCGGCGATGAACATACGGCTACGCGTGCATGGTGATTGACATTGACACACAGCGACGGACACATGGCGATATACATACGCTGTAAAATGTACCCCCTAAATAATCTACTGATAATTGGCGGTGTAAAAAAAATTGCGCGGGATTTAACTCCAAAATCTGAAAGGTTCCTTGTCCATTTGCGGGATCTAAAAAAGAAACAAGAGCTTAGACGGCACCATGTACCGCTGCCTCCTTTCCTCCGACGAGTGGACTTCTAAACCGTAGGACCTCCCTAAGGTACGCAAACCTGAGTGCCCAATGTGACCGATTGTTTTTTCCGTTTATCAGTTCTGCTACTTATAACCTCTTACGATCTTTCAATATACCTTGTGGAGCTTCTTGCGCCCTGAACCAGAAATAACAACACGACCGTTCAAAACTCTCGAGAATTTGTGAGCCTCATTCAAGATAAGGCTTTTGACGAGAAAGACGTAATGACTTATTTTGATGTTGTATTCTTGTTTACAAACGTCCCGACCAATCTCGGAATAGGTGCTGCTGAAACTCGCCTGCAAAGTGACGTCAAGCTTTCGTCGCGTACGTCACTGACAGTTGAATACATTGTTACCATTTTGCAATTTTGTTTAAATCAATCGCATTTCAACTTCCGCGGGCAAATTTATCACCAAATCTAAGGATGTCCGATGGGTAGCCCGGTTTCTGTGACCATGACAAACCTCTTGATGTATCTCATGTAAGAAACGGCGTTTCAAGTAAATGTATGAACAGTTAAGACACACCGGCACTTCGTAGATGACACCTTTGTTATTTTGAACCACGATCACGTACCTTCCACTCGACTTTGAACAGCATTGAACCATCTCTTCAATTCACATGTGACCAGAGCGTAACAACGCGCTACCTTTCTTAGATGTACCTGTGTGCCGAGGTGACGGCGGTCTCGTAGAAACAACTGTCTACCGCAAGCCCTGCGACAGCGGTAACCTTACGAGTTTTAACTCTCGCGACTGTTTGGAACAGAAGCGGGTAGTCGTCAAGACCTTAATGAACCGATCTGAGCACATCTCCTCAAACACGGAATTAGACACATCTGAAAATACAATTGCTCTTAAATCTCTCTTCAAATGTGACCACACTCCAACATTTAATAAACACGCAGAAACAGATACTCTGAGACAGGAATGAAAACAAAAAAAACTATGAGGCTGGCGTTGTGGCCATTCCATACGTGAAAGGTGTCTCGGAATCTATACGCTGCGGCCTCCTCCCTCTAAGCGTACGAACAACTTTCAAGCCCCACCTCAAGCCGCGTGTCTTTATTTCAAAACCAAAGGACCCGACCCCTCCAGAGTCCCAGTGTGATGTGGTGTATAAAGTGAAAAGCCAGATTATGACTCACCTTACATCGGTGAGACCGGCCGGAAACGGAACACGCGCCTCAAAGGATCAAGAGAGACCTGGGAAAGGCCACAGATGCCACGAGGTCAAAAATGAACTAGCAGATCACTGCAGGAAAACGGGTCACAGCTTGGATTTTTAGAGCGCAGGCGCCTTGGCGCAAGAACAAAAGTGGGGCCCACGAAAGTTTTTAGAGTCGTGGTGCATTCGTAGTGACGCATCCACTTCAATGGCAACCGAGGCCCCCTTCCCGAGGTGCACGCAGATCAAGCGAGCGTCGACCGCCGGGACGGCCAGCGCTGTGCCGCGGAAAAATGCGGCATCACGGGAGAGATTAAAGGGCCCCTGCAATCATATTTAAGCGTCTACCTTTTTTGCGGTTTCCACGTCTCTTGGGGTTGGGGCAAGCCAGCGGGCACGGAGAGAGTAACTAAATATCAGTGCGTCATATTTTAACCGGACGACGTGGAAACCTCCTCCACCGACGAGGGCGACCCGCGGTACCGAAAGCGCGCAAAATGTGACGTGTTTGGTCCTGGGCTTGCTACCGGTCAAAGCCGCTAAGAGCTTTTTTTTTAGTCGAGATACAAAATATAAGTGTCGCGAACCGTTTCAATCATGTATGAAAGTAGTTTTTGTTCACTATTTTAGGTCAGAAAAGAAACAAATGCAGTTAAGAAAGTACGGAAACGAGAAATGACCCGTCGACATACCCGCCACCAAGCAGCGGAGAAAAACGGCGCATACTAGAAAAGGCTAGTGGGATGAGGCTACGACAAACGAGGAGCGTAGAAAGGTCCCGGATGTTCACGGCGGCGCTGTGGTCGTATACCGGCTCAAGAATCCGACCGGTTCCGAGCGTTCCGAAGGCCTTCGGCGCGGGCCCTGCTGGCGATTCGGCCATTTGGCGGTGCGTCAGCGCGAAATGGCACCCGTTCTGAACTGATTTTTACCCCGTGTTTGCTGTCGTTTGCGGCCAGTGGAATGCCGAATTAGTGTTTAGTCGCGCTGCAAATGCAATACGAGCTGCCCTGGCCGTCCGCTTCATACAGCCTATCCAACACATGCCTTAGTGGCGCCCTCTCGAGCCGTCGACACGGAGTGCGGCAGCCGTGTGCGCTCGATGAGCTCACTACTCCTCCTCTAGTTCAAGGCCACTCAAGGCAGGACCTACGACGTCATGAAGGAGGTTATTTTTTGCTTGTTTTTGTAATTCTAATTTGCCTATAACTTTTAAAATAAAGCGAAATTTGAGAAAAGAAAAGTTGGATTAATTTACTAC